CGTAATGTCCCCCACCCGCCATTGGGGGAGGAGGAGGATACCCTCCTCCACTTGCTCTCTCAGCAGCACCCATAGTACCAGCAAACTGCGTCAGCTGCGACAAGGCTGCCACAGCAGCGGCAGCAGCAGCATTAAGACCTGGAGGAACAGGGTAGCCTTGCGTCCCACCCAAATTTACCTGATTACCCGGATGGACATAAGGATCCTGCACTTGCCCAGGCCCTAATGATCCAGATACTGACCCAGCATTTTGTTGTTGCTCACTCGGCACAGCCGTAGCCACCAACGTCTCCGGATGCGTATATGGATGATGTTGCTGATACGCATTTGGATAATAATTCTGGTAATAAGAAGCATCGTATGGCTGTTGTTGTTGTTGTTGTTGTGACGGATCTTGGTAATTATAATTATAATAATACGATTGATCGTAAGCCTGCGATGGATCATATAATTGTTGAACCTGCGATTGATCGTAGGCCGGTGGCTGTTGTTGCACGGCAGCGGCAGCGGCGGCGGCAGCAGCGGCAGATTCTTGTTGTTGTTTCTGTTGTTGAGCTTGGTGTTCCTGAAACCGTTTTTGTAGCTGTTCAAGCTCTTGGCGTTGTGCATCAGGGAGCTTTGACAAATCCATTGATACAAATCGCTGAAAAAAAAATGAAAAATAAATCTAGGGTTTTGTATCTGTCGTTGGGCGACGGGGATTATGAGGTAACGGATGGAAGAGCGTGAAGAGGATGCTCCAATTTTAGCAAATTTTATTGTCCCCCTCCAGATTGTCTCCTTGTCAGTTGTGAGGGGACTGGAAATTAAAACAAACTGTATTCAAAATCAGTTTTACGGGTTCAGATCCAGCCTATTAGCTCAGTGCAAAGAGTGGATCAAGCCTGGCCTAGAGCATAGAGGGCCTGGACAACCACTTGGGCCCCTAACTTGATGTAAGCATGAGTTTAAAATAAGACCACGTCCCTGAGCATTCCGGTTATTCTTTGTTTTCATCATGGTGCGGGCTTCAGTCATCGGGATTTGAGCAACTCCCATTCCAACGTTCTGACGTGTTGAACCTCCTTCGATTGCGAAAACTATACCGCTCCTTGTGATGGTCAACGCATTCTATATATCCAATCAGACGTTCAATGTACCGAGACGAGAATATAGATAAGAAAGATTTAGACGCGAAATCCTCCTTATTACTCCGAAAAGTTATATGTCAGTTCTAATACCGTAATTAAACGTTTAGAAATTTGAACACATAAAATTTCATAATACTAAGTTGGGTGACAGACGTTAAATCTAATAATAGCAACCTAGAAGGCAATCTAAGGCATGGTATATTACAATTCATTTGGCACATAAAAGCAAATTAGACATCTTATCCTAAAGTAAGCTAGTGCATGTTATAGCAAATAAGGTATTTAACCTACGTTATGATATATATATATATATATATATATATATATATATATATATATATATATATATATATATATATATATATATATATATAGATATATATATATATATATATCTTATTTAACACTTAATATTATTTAATGTTTGTACCCTAAAATATCCTACACACACCTCACGATCATTGCTTAATCTCTAAGTTTAAGTCTAGAAATCCTACTAATTCCAAGTTCGCTTAAACTAATGTTCTGATACCAACTGTGACATCCTCTAATTTTTAGAACCAATTAAAACTTTTCTTTATGCTTTTAAAATCATTTATTTATATTTATGGAAAATCCCAATACAAAATATCATTTTGATTACAAATGTTTGTTTCCAAAATGTTAAAACCCTAAGGATGTCAAAATCAACACAAATACATAAGTTACAGCGTAAAAACCTGATGGTCCTGAATACTATTGCGGGTTGTCTCTTAATCTCTTAGTATCTTAATCAAGTTCCAGTAGCTTAAGTCTTGACACCTGATATGCATATAAACTGAGTGGGTTAGGTTGGGAAAACATAGTGAGATACATAGGGATTTCAATTCCACGATATTGATATGATAATATTCTTTAATTATCAGACCCGCAAAACCAACCGTTACCATACTAAATTCATATTGTCTTGCATTGTTACTTATCTATTCCTACCGATCCTCACAGATCCTAGTCCAATATTATCAGGGAGAAATTATCTCGCCTGATGAACCGTTAAAAGATTGACTACACAGCTAGGGGCTTCCTTTGTCGATGTAAGTCGTAAAGGCTTATGGGCCGTCAGAGTATTTGATGAATATGGTTTTCCAATTCATCTGCGTCCGTGAGTAATGATCTCACACTAGCAACGTAATTCACAAGACCGTCTAGAATGATCAAGTGTTGTTACCTACTTTGTAGGGTGACCAGACACACCGCTAATAGTTGCCTGATCGGGACCCATCATTTCTGATCATCCTGTACGAAGCTACCATACATCGACACCTGATAGTTTCATGGAAAAGAACTTTACTCCCCATTCTTAGGTTACGCACATTCTTATAATGAGACTACCTAATATCAAACTTAATTGAGCTAGGTATCTTCCATAAGTCTAAGTTTATCCCTAGACTAGATTATAGTGTCTGTAACCAACCTTAATATCAACTTTATTCTTGGGTGACACTAACCTAATTCTAGTGTATTTATAATCCCTACAAAGCATTAGGTATTATTATTCTTTTATCTTCTTAGCAATGCAACTTTTAATACTATTATATGATGTTATCTATTTAATCCTAACATAAAATAGAACCATATCTGGTTCGCACATAGCACAATATATATCCTAACATATAATCCAGACAATAAGCACATAATTAACATACGACTTCTAGAAAATATTTAATATTTTAATTAATACTCATATTAAATCATGTTCATGAAATGGACTACAACTCACTTGACAAAGTGTTTAGTGATTGGTGAATTGGGTAGAGCTTTGCCTTATACATTTTTCCAACAGACTTAGATGTAGATAGCGCTAACTCTTAGTCTAATTTAATACTTCATGGAACTATTATTTTAAGGGTTTGGATTTCTTAACAATCCCAAAGTCTACTTCAAGATCTAAATAAGGAATAACCATGTAGGATCATATCGGAGATAGGGTCTGTTTGGTATTAAAAGTATACTGTTTGGAAATCTCACTTTAAATACCTCACTAAATCCATCCTAGACATCACTCTCATAAGTATATCAATCAGTATAATTACATGGAATTACTGATATATCTTATTTGTTCATAATAACGACTTATGACCATAAATATAAGTTACAATGAAAACGATATAGTGTAGCTTAACTTACAGATGATTTAGCTAAAAGTTGGGAATTATGCGAGCAGAATTTTGATCCAGGAGCTTCTATTCACTGGCTATCTGACACTGCATGGCTTCTACTTGATAGCTACTACTACTTCAGAGATCGCAGGGCTTCGTCGAAGCCTAAAAATCGAAGGAAATCGAGAGAGAAAGTGTGGGTAGTGTGAAAGAGAATGCAACTAAGCACATTTATATATAGCCCATATGCGTGTCGTGCACTCTAGCCATGCCGATCCTCTTGTTTTGCGACACGTGTCAGGTCTAGATTTGTCCGCTTCCCTACTTTGGCAGACTACTGCGCGTCATGCCCCTCGTGTGTATGTGTGTGGATTTCTGATTTTTCAAAAATTCATATCTTCTTCATACGAGCTCCATTTTCAACGTTTTTTTATATCCATGTATAGTTAACGATGAGATCTACAACTTTTATTTAGACTCCTCGGCTAATTTTGACTTTATTTTTAAAGCTATATTTTTTACAGGCTTATACTGTTAAAGTCTGTTAAAATTTTATAACTTTCTCATATGATATCTGTTTTCATCAGTCTTTATATCGATGGAACCATATGGACGAGATCTTCAACTCTCGTTTAGATTGTTTTTGCCTAACAATCAACCGATCTTTACTTCGGTTTCTGAGTCGTATACTACTGCGCTGAAACTTATAAAAATCATAACTTCCTCTTCCGAAGTCAGATTTGGGTGTTCTTTACATGCGCACTCTCAGCCTCTTAGGCTAAAAAACAATTTATCAAAAATTCACTTTTTACGATACGCAGAGTCGTGCTGGTTTAATCGCGAAACTTCGAAGAAGCATAACTTCTTCATATGAAGTCGGATTTCAGCGTTCTTTATATGTACGGAACCCTTGTCACATACATTATAACTTTGGTTAAGGTTATTTATCCTAAATAACCTTCTATTAAAAGTAATTTTTACGGTTATTATCTATAAATTGACAAACCCGAATATACGAGCGTTACATAAACTCACTTGAAAACACATATATGATCAATAAGAATGTTGGAATGAATTACTTAGTTGAGCTGGTTTGTCATACATCAGATATAATGATATACACATAATAATAGTTAAATGTGTGATATACATCATTTTAAATTTAGTTATCTAAAATAAACATTGCAACTTTGAGGAGACAATATAAACATTACTTTATTTGTTTGATGACGTGCATAAGGTTAATTTTAGAATTAGTTAAAAGAATTTGCTAGAGTATTTATCACGTTTTATTCAATAGTATTCGATAAAATAAAATACGAACCTATTGTAAACAACATTAATATCATCATTATTTTTAGGTTTTGTAATTCATTAGTGATGTTTCATGTTTTAAGCATTAACATTATGTTTTTTTCCACAAATATTATAACTTGTTTTTCCCATGTTTGATATGGACGGTTAAAGATAATATTTACCTTTATGTTATTTTTATAAAACAAACATTCATGTAGTGTCAACATAAAAATTGGCAAAAAGAAACATTTTAATTTTATGAGACGAAAACGTATTATCAAAAGCAATTCAAAATCTGTAACTTTTTACATTAAAAATAAAAAACAATCAAAAGTATGAGGATTGAGGACTTGAGAAAGTCCGTTCTAGAATAATTGATAAAATAATTTAAAAAAATTATACTAAATTACAAAAAATAAAAAATAAGACAAGTGTGTCACCATAAACACCCTACAAGTACCATCAAGTAAGTCGACCATTTAATTGAGCTTGTAATCACCCAACCCGAAGAAAGATCGGATTCCATCAATGAACTATATCGAAAATTCGGGTTTGACCCGTATAGCGCCTGGACCCCCTCCACGTCATCAATCTTAAGGTCCACCTTCTTAGTTCTCGGACTCAAGCTCGGGTACATGATAGCGTCTTTGACCGAAGTGTGGGCCAATCCGAGTATATGCCCAATTTCATGCGTTGCAACTGATTCTAAATCAACGGCCACCTTTGATTTAGTTGATTTAAAATCAACGGCCCATGTCTCAGCTTCATCTAAATGGAGCCGACCGTTTTCCGGCGAAAAAGCGTGAGCCAACACTCCTAAAACACCGTCGAACGGCTCTCCGTCGCCATGATCACCTTTGTAAAATCCGATTTTTATGTCTGCCGACGAGTAATCGTCCGCTTCCGTAAAGTTCACCGGTATCACAGACGACCACCGTGAGAACGAACGCCGGAAAGCATCTTGCACGTCGGAGGAACTAAGGTAATCGATCATATGGTTACGGGAAAAAGCGTATGTTAGCGACACCTGAGCCGATCTCCCCCACCGCGGCTCACCGTAAAAATACGCATAGTGTTTAGTGACGTGGATTTTGTCCGTCGACCCTTTCCTTACATCACTTACGCCGCAGCGCGGTGACATGATCTGTGTCACAGTCCCGGCGTCGAGCTTTCCAGTCACCATCAATCCGAGGTTCCTCTGGTAGTTAACGACGGCGGATTCGAAACTATCATCGAATATGTCTGTGAAGTTATCTACGACGTTGTCTGGGATTTGGAGGTATCCAAATCGATGGAAGTACTTCTTGAGCTCAGACATACCGGAGAAGTTGGCACCCTTGCCGGCGTCGATGAAGTTAACGAAGTTGTTCCAGGTGGCGTTCGGAGAGAGGTCAGCGGGGAACAGAGTGCCGGGAAGGGTTCTGGCGGGAAAGAGAGAAGGCATGAGACAGAGGAAGAAGATGGAGGTTAAAGAGTTATAACTGAAAAACTGGAACATGTTTTGGTTAGTTGTAGTACGATTTCTAAAGTGTTTTGATTTAGTACAATTTGTATTAACACCAAAAATCAAACTATTTATATTGAGCATAATACTCTTTAATATTTATTTATATATATATGTATGTGTGTGTGAAATATCTTAAAAAACAAAAATAGATAAGAAAGATATACAAGGAAGATGGGACTTGGGAGTTAGAGAAATGGAAGAATCTTTGGACCAAAGTGCAAGTCTTTTTTTCTTTCTGATTATGACTAGTTTTTGATAGAGATGTTCTAAGGTGGGTGAACCACTGGGGTTGGGGTTCTATTCCTTTTCATTTAATTTATTTTTATATGTTTAATTCACTTAAATAATTTATTAATAGTACTCTTTTTGTTCTAATGACGTCATTTTCGTTATATTTTTTAAACAAATGGTCAATTTAGGATAAGGAGACGAATGAAAAGGAAATAACAGATTATAACATCAATTCAGTGAGAAAATCTAAAACATTGTTTCGTTGTCTTATTGAATCATTGGAAGTCGATGTATTCTTGTGGTGATGTTAAGATAAGAATGCGATATAACTAATAAAACAGTCCTTTCTATTAAAAGTTAAAACTGTGCATCATATTCTTTTGCTTTTTTTTCTTTCTCTTAAGGAAATAATCACAATGTCATAAGGGGTAAAATTGAAATTTACCATCAAGATGTTTGATCGTAGAACCGGTTTGTGGACAAGCGTCAAGAAATAGTGTTTACCTTTTTTTTAGTGAATCACTGAATAGTCAATCACTTATTCCTTCAAACATTTTTTTATTAAATAACCAATTTCCCACTTAAATGGACATTACATGTTTAATATTACTACTCATATATATGTCTTAACTCTGAAGTTTGGAAAATTCTTAATTAATTCAACACATATTTATCTAACCATTATTAGCAACTGCTAAATGTGTGATTGATGTATCTTGTTTTTATATTTGGGCATGCTATCTGTTATGTATCATGCAGATGATAATAAAAGAATAAAAGGCTGAAAAGGCTTTATTTGATTATGGTTAATTTCAAAGAAGAAATAGAAATAGGGGTGATGATTTTAAGGTTGAAAAAGGAAGGTGTTAAACCACAAATCCTAGTGGTTTTTCAGTTGAGAAATTTTCTAGTTTGTTGACCTACAATTAGGTAAAATTACCATCAAACCCCTATAATCGTCCATATAAAATAAAGTCGCCTCATTTTTTTTTCTAATTATATATGAAAAATAATGTGACTATGTGCAACAACTCAAACCCAAACTTTCCTATGTCACCTTTGAATTATTGTTAGTTTTTATGTTTATTATATTTGATAGATAATTGTTTTTTTTTCTAAACAAAAAGTAGAAAAAAATTATACGAATAAACAAAAATTTATGAAATCATTCCTTTAGCCTTTTTTATAGTAGATTATTTATTCTTATAAAATATAGTTGTACCACCTTTATCGGTATGTTTGATGGTCTGAGTGTCAGATCATAGTCTAGTATTGTCACGACCCCCGGCCGGCGGCGGAAACGTTGGACTGTGCGACGTAATGATGTTGGATCGAGACACACATATATATTGAACATTACACATAAATATAACACAAACGATACTTTTATTTATTATAATTTATACAACATTAGATTACATAAAATGCAAATATAGGTATTTTTGAAATAGTAATAATTGAAATCTTTACAACAAAAACAAACTTGGTGCATTAATGATACTTGGATTCATAAATTCGTCACATTCAGATCCATTTAAATATTCTATATATATATATATATATATATATATATATATATATATATATATATATATATATATATATATATATATATATATATATATAGGGTTGAGATCGGTTGAAAACTCATAGTTTCCCGAGAACCTGAGAACTAAAAGTGGAGCGTTGGATCAAAAGTAATTCATTAACGGCATGATCGTCATCTTACCAATCTCATTTAATGTTTAATTTTTTTGTGCTATTTAACATATTAATATAAATGTCTAAAAATTTACATCATAGATCAAATTTTCATATTTTTTTAAAAAAATAGTATTTTTCGTTTTTTTTTAAATGCAGATTTTTTTAATTTTTTATAGAAAAACATGAATTTTCGAAAAAAAAATTGAAAAAATATTTTTTTAAAATAACTGCAATTTTTTAAAAAAAATTGTATTTTTTTTTTTCAAAAAAGCTGCAATTTTTCTAAAGAAAACTGCATTTCTTTTTCAAAAAAGAACTGCAATTTTTTTTACATTTTTTTTTTAAAAAAAAAGTAAATTTTTAGGTGCATATGTGCATATTTTTTCAAATGCACATATATACATTTCTTATACTATAATATCCGTAAGTAAATCACAACAAATCTCATATTTATTAATTAATCTATAAACATAATAGTAACATAATAGTACAAGTATTTTATTCGATACAAAATAAAATATAAAAAATATAAAAAATGCAACAAATTTCAAAGCGTTTTAATGTCTTCGTGTCAATATTTCAATATTTTTTTCAATTTATCATTTTCCACCTCTTCAATATTCACCATAATTTCCTCCAAATCTACAAGAAAATTAAAAAGAAATTGATTGATGCAAAAACATTCACAAAAATACATATGTGATTTACATGTGAATCACATGTAATTCATATCTGATTTACATGTGTATCACATGTAATTCATATGTGAATTACATGTGATTTATATGTGAATCACGTGCAATTCGTATGTGATTTACATGTGAATCACATGTAATTCATATGTGAATTACATGTGATTTACGTGTGAATCATATGTAATTCATATGTGATTTACATGTGAATCAAATGTGATTCATATGTGAATTACATGTGAATCACATGTGATTTACATGTGAATCACATGTAATTCATATGTTTCCATGTGATTTTATTTACTAAACCAAATGCTTTTAGTTACCAAAATATCTAACATTAACACCGGTTAAATGCTTATCACTTTCATACCAATTTAAACAGCTGACATGAATTATGACACCAAGTTTCATTCAGTTTATTTCTTATTGGCCATTGTATTTTGAAAAATCTAAACTAAAACTATAGCTAGCATTGTACTTTCAACTTTTAAAATAAAAATATGCAATAATTTGCTATTTTTTCAAGTAAAATGTTATAAGCATGTAACTGGAAGAAATGAAAGTAGAAGGCTATAATAAACAAATTAATCAAAGTACGTATAGGGACAATAATGTAATTTACACTATAAGATGGATGGATTAATATACCCCAGGATATGTTTCTCCTTGCAAATATTGTCGGATGCTCAAGTCCATAGTTCCAACAATATTGTCGGATGCTCAAGTCCATAGTTCCAACAATACTGTTCAACACGGTTCTTTTCACATTTTTCACTTCCTTTTGAACCTGAAATGTCAAAAGTCTACATGATTTCTACTAGATATATCATATACTGTATATATCACAGGCTGAATTATACTTAAATCAGTCTATGCACACACAAACACACACAAATATAAAAATGTAATTCATAAAAGTCTAAAACTAACAGATATAATGGAATCATTTTCTACACATATTAACAAATAAATAAAACATCAAAATCATGAAACCATAAACTTACTTCTTTTACAGAAACATTTCTAGGGTTATTTCATTCATATACAGTAACCACACATGGTCATGGAATGTAACACTAAATTCCACCACCTTGTTTTTTCAATTACCCTGTTCATTCCATTCCACTGTCATCCCATTGCATTCCTTCAAAACCAACAGACCCGACCTAATCTTATGCTGATAAGCTATTGAATGAAGACAATCAATAACATATCTAAAAGCAAGTTACAGAATTATAGAATTGGGACTCTGCAATCACGAAATCAACTGTATTTTTCAAAAAAAAGTATAACAATGTGCCACCTGAATTAATTCTAAATGCTTCATCAGTTGATTTCTCAAGAATAGCAGCATGTACAAATGAAAAAAGTGTTCATGTTTCTAAATAATAGAAAGAATTTGAAGTTTTTTGAAAAGTGTTTTTCATTTATGATTGACATGAGGTAGATTTATTAGGACATAAAATTGGTCAAATGTAAACAATCAGTGGTCTCTCTCTCTCTCTCTCTTGGGACATAAAACTGACCACTATTTTAAGGCCAAGGAAGAGAAATTGCATAACATTTCCTACAACAATTTCTCTAGTCCAATTCAAAATTCAATTTTGATATTGAGTTCACACACACAATCCGAAATTCAATTTTGATCAGAAGCTTTAATGGAGCTTCGGTTAGTTCAGTCGCAGGTTGTTAGTAGCATACCTGCAAAAGGCTTTACATAATCGCAGCAATTCATATGCTATCGCCAACTTATCAAATCGTTTGGAACGAAGAGAATTGTTCAGTCAAATGCTATCAAGCTCAGACCTGTTCAATTCAAGGTTCAAGCTGCAGGTATTACATCAATGATGTTTATTTCCTCCAAATTTTGCAATGTGAATCGTTATTTCTGATAAATCGTACGTTTAATTTGTGGTTTGTAACTTGAAGTCGAATTTGGTTTTCCAATTGATTAATGATGGGAAAAAGTCACCTATGATCAACGAGATAAAGTCGCTCATCATCAAGGTCGGACAGACTCTGTATTGAACGGACGGTGTTGCTGCTTCCGAACATCGAGTCGTCCTCTGGCTCAGAGACCGGAAGCTCAGAGGCGAAGGAGAATCGGGAGGTTCGGAGCGATCGGAGCTCTGGCTGATTTATTAGGGCACGAAACTTCGAGAGGGAAGAATGACGCAACCACCGCGATGTTAAATCTATCAATCATCGGAGAATCTTCAATGAAGGCGGTGGTTGTTGACAGAGTTAGGGTGGTTGTTAGAGGGAGGAGGGAGGGGTCGACGAAGAGGGAGGAGGTCGATGGAGTCGGTGAAGAATCGGATTAGGGAACGAGCGATAGAAAGACTAATCACGATCTGATATGTTTAGTTGGGGAGCTAATTACATGTTCCCTTAAATGCCCTTATCTTATTTTATTAAGATACTCTTCCTTGTTTTTTTTCTATTTATTTACAAAATTGCCATCAAAGATCTTAGCCCTTAACTTTTTTAATCTAACGGTCCACTTTTAGTTCTCAGGTTCTCGGGAAAATATGAGTTCTCAAATGATCATTGCTCTATATATATATATATATATATATATATATATATATATATATATATATATATATATATATATATATATATATATATATATATTAAAGTTGATGTATGAAAGAAAAAAATTAAGATGTTTCTTTGTAAAAATAAGCAATTCATATTGTGGACTTTGTTGTCTCTTAGGGTTGCAACACTTAGGTCTTTCATTTTACAATAACATTTTAGCACAAAAATGAATTTAGATTGCTACTTCTCCATTTTAAGAGTAACATTTTAGCACAAAATGAATCTAGATTGTTATTTATTGCATTTGATAGCAACATTTGAACAACAAAAATGTCCCAAAAATAGCCTAAAATTGAAGAATGTAACGGGCTACATGCCAACCAGCTTCAATGCTATCTCACCTTAGATCTCAAGGACTTGAAGTTTCCAGCATATATAGATTAAAATGTTAACTACAAAATGATAGATTGTTTAGCGAAATGGATGTTTGAGCCTTCATATGTTTTTACGCGTTTAATCATTTCATGGTTATTATTTTGTAATAATTTTGGGATTGTCATATTTTTTCATTAAGGATGGGTGAAATTATCTAAATTTTTGTCAAAATAAACATTGATGTGCATATAGATCGATATGAAAAAGCTTAATTTTGTTAAAGTCGATCCTAAAGAACTTGTCCTAAGGTTGAAAATTTGGAATGTTTAAGCCTGAAGGTCCAAACTTGAAACTACCATTTGTCTAATCTACAAACGTCTGCTCCGATCTAGTTGGTATTGTCCTAAAAAAATCCAGTTGTTTGCATTTTTGTGATATGATGATGTCATTTCTTATAAAAAAAACTCTTCAAAAAATCATAGATTATATTTTGAAATGACTGATAATTTTGTTAACAAATGATTAAAACCTCCGGTACAATCCCAGATTATTTACTTATAAAAATAGATTTCAATAAATAAATGTTTCAAAATAATATACCCATTTAAATACTAAATAATTATTTTTCTTGGAAACAAATATTTAATTTGATGTTAACTCGATTTTGTATTTAGTCACGACAAAACTTTCGATTTCAAAGCTATATCTTTTATTTATTGTAAGGAATTATATGTATTAATATTGCAAAACTATATCTTTTATTTATTGTAAGGAATTATATGTATTAATATTTATTCAGATACTATAATTAAAGAAAAGAATCATACGTACAAGTTAATCATGATAATATTTGTCCATAGTTAGATTAATTTTATCACAAACTAAACTAAAATGACAATTAATATATACTATTAAAGCACAAGAGGTTTAAGGAATAGTATAGTTCCTTCCCATTACGTTTTTGCCACACAAGTTTTTCCGGTTTTACATTTTGGTCAATTAAGGTTAAATATACTATTAAAGCACAAGAGGTTTAAGGAATAGTATAGTTCCTTCCCCTTACATTTTTGCCACACAAGTTTTTCTGGTTTTACAGTTTGGTCCCTTAAGGGAACAATATAGTTCCTTCCCCTTTCGCTTTTGCCACAAAAGTTTTCCCGGTTTTACGGTTTGGTCCCTTAGTACACACAATGTAATTTTCTTTAACTTTTCCCTTTTCTAATATATACTATTAAAGCACAAGAGGTTTAAGGAACAATATAGTTCCTTCCCTTGCGCTTTTGCCACACAAGTTTTCCCGGTTTTACAGTTTGATCCCTTAGTACACACAATGCAGTTTCTTTTGACTTTTCCCTTTTCATTCGGATAGAATTTAATATCTATTGCCTCAAATCTTATCTGCTCCCGCCTCCCTCTACTACCAATTTGATGCAGTGGCTTAGGTTTGAAGCTACTACTTGGATATGTCATCTGTGTTGGACCGCCAACATATTCAAATCACCGAATGCTGCTGCTATGCTCTCTTTTACCTACAGTCCATATAATTGTTTTGTTTGTTTACTCTATTCGATCGAATATGCATACAATCCATAAAGTCCATAAGCGATTGATTCTCATCTTCGGTCAGAGGCTGCGACGTAGTCGAATCCTCATCGACATACCGTTTGCATCCTCCTTTATTACCCGTTGTCAGTTAGGACTGCAACCATCGATGGTGGTAGCGCTGACCACCGGAGACAATTATATGGTGTGCATTCTAGGTCACGATTCTTGCAGGTGTGTTCTGGTGAAGGTTTGTTCATGTATAATTCTCTATTTACTCGCTAAAAATTCTTTTAACTTTCATATATTTGATTAGGTAAAAGGCACCAATTCTACAACTGTGTTTTCTGAACTACAATTCATGTGTTTAAACATCAAACATAGCTCATAAATGAAAAAATGGGGGTGAAAAATACATGATTAGTTTTTATTTTTATTTGGACCTACAGTTATGTTTCCATAGCATTTAACTTTGTGGAATGCACTCCAAACCCTAACATAAAATAGTAATAATGTCAGAGTACAATCCCATGGATCTCAAAATGCGGAAATCATATGTGTGCGATGCGCTGCTACCGTGTCGGCTCCTTCCCCTTCGCTGAAGAGGTACCTGAAACGAAACTGAAAATTGTAAGCACAAAGCTTAGTGAGTTCCCCCATCATACCACATACCATACAACATACATACTGACAGGCAATTCTGGGGTGTCTGACCTACCCATGTCAAGCCCTTATGGGTGCTTGACTTACCCAGGTCAATCCATTCTGGGGTGCTTGAGTTACCCTGGTCAAGCCATTCTGGGGTGCTTGACTTACCCATGTCAAACCATTCTGGGGTGCTTGACTTACCTATCGGTTTATCTCAACCGACTATTGGGGACTATTTCACCCCCTACCACTACCACATCATAACATAACATAAACATACTGCTAGGCATGCATGGGTACTGACTACCCCTTCAGTATCTTTCAACCGGTATTCGGGGACTATCTTTCAACCGGTATTCGGCCCAGCTCAGCAGCTGCAAGTAGGGATGAGCAGAAGCGGGTACCCGCCTATTTTAGCTGGAACCGGAACCGCTCCCGGAACCGGCGGTTCTAAAATTACTGGAACTGCTCCTGAAACCGCCTAGACCGGTTCTTAGAAATTTAGAACTGCTCCCGGAACCGCCTAGACCGGTTCCGGTTCCGGGTACCCGGTTTCTTGAAATTTTTTATTTATTTATTTTGTACATGCCGTTAAAATTAACTTTTATAAGCAATATGAGTTCAAGATATAAAACTAAAACAATTAAAAAAAACTTGATCTCAAAACAACAAGTGGAAATTAACAATTAAAGATGAAATTTTGACAAGCTACAAACCACAAATCATTCCAATTGTCAATGATAACAAAAGCCAACAACAAATTACAAAACAATTACTCAAACAATCTCAAAATAGCAAAACAGCAATAACATGACAGTCTCAAAACAGCACTAAACAGCAAAACACCAACAGCAAAACAGCACAAAACACAACATCTCAAAACAACAAAAACAGCAACAGCAAACAGCAACCTGCAAACAGCAAAAACAACAACTGCAAACAGCAAAACAGCAACCAGCAACAAAAGCAATTACTTATTCCCTCGTACGAGATCTTCCATATTGCAACTGATTTCTGTAATGAAAATAAGCATAAAAAAGTCAAATTAGAATAATAAATGTAATACAAGAAACATAAAATAAAATAATAAATAATTGTGTAACTTACCTTCCTCATATTTTTCCACATCTTCCAATAACTGTTCAAAGTCAACTCAAACATTTGATGCCCTCAAGCAATCCTGAGTACATATCAAAGCTTCAGACAGTCTTTGGAAGCAAATTACTCCGAAAATCATCTTCAACAACATTTTCATAGGTCATATATTTTTCTCATTTGCTTATTCTTAACCACACCAACAAAATTTTGGCCATCATTATCATTCGTATTTGAGGAACTACAATCATCATTCTTTGTTATTGAAGAAACATTAGAATAATGAGTATATAGTTTTTTCAAAACCTCAAACACTTGAGAATATAATTCTTCAACCTTCTTAAAGTCTAAAGGATATATTTTTTTTAAAGAAAACTTCACAAACCTCATCTTATACCTTAGAACAATGTTTGCATTGCGCCTTTACAACCTTGCCCGTCTTTGGATCTCTAACATCCGTGTAGTTGTGCCAAGCATTTGATGTCCTTTTGTCCCCCAACTACCGGCATTTTATTTTTCTCAACAGCCTCACTTGCACCATCCATGTCTACGTCAATTGGACTATTTTCCATAACTGAACCTGAAAGTTATTGATATTCACAGATTTAAGTAGCAGGCTAACAGCTGAAAAAAATGAGAAAACAAGAAAATAGATGCAAACACAATTACAGCAAACAGTCTAAACACATAATCTAAACAGATGCAAACACAATTACAAGAAACAGATGCAATCTAAAAAAACTGAACAGGTATGAACAGATTAAGAAAACGAGAAAAGAAATAGAAAATCAAAAAGAGTTTCATAATTGCAATCTAAAAACCGAGAAATCAAATTTCATAATTACAATCTAAAAACCGGAACAGATGCAATCTAAACACATAATCGAGAAATCAAATTTCATAGTCAATAGATGCAATCTAAGAATCAATATATCAAATTTCATAGTCAATAGAACAGCCTACTGCTTGGACAATAGACGGGACTGCAAGAGAAATCGAGAATCTGACCGTGAAGATGAATATTTGAGAGTTACGATTGAATAGCGTGAGTGGAGAGAACTGGTCCACCGTCGTCTTCTAGTCTTGTACTCTTCTACTCGACCGGACTGCAAGAGAAGACCGGCATGAAGGACGGTGAACGATTGACTGTCGACGAGAGGGTAACGACTTACGAGATCGTCGACTGGAACGTACTTCAAACTTCTAAGCTCTAATCCATAAGTCTGGTTAACTGGTAATGTGATTGTGAGGGACGATTAGTCGATTACTCTGTGACGTGAACTCGAGAAGAAGAGAACGACGAGAAGAGAGTTCAGGGGAGAAGAGAGTGTCGGCGTATTTGCTTAAGAAAATTGCAAAACCCTAAAAGAGACTAAGGTATACCCGTGAAAGTTTTTTATTATTATTTTTTTTTAAATTTACCGATATATAAAATATTTTTGATTTTTTTCTAAAAAACAAGGCGGGTACCCGGCGGTACCGGTTCCGGGTACCCGGTACTGGAACCGGAACCGGCGGGTATCGATTTTGTAAAAATGAAAATTGGAACCGGAACCGCTTTAGGCGGTTCTGAAACTTTAGGAACCGGAACCGGAACCGCTTAAGGCAGTTCCGGTTCCAGAACCGGCAGTTCCGAGGCGGTTCCGGTTCCGAAAGCAAGTACCCGCTTCCGCTGCTCATCCCTAGCTGCAAGGCCTAGCCATCAGTAGTTACGTTGTCGGACTAGCAGTCGCGCTGCCTAGCTCTCGGCAGCCGCGCCACCCAGTTTTTGTTAGTACTTGGGTCGCCTAGCTCTTTCCAGCAGCTATGTATCTCGCCTTTCAGCGGCTATACATTCGTCTTCGCCTCCTCTAAAGAAATAAAAAGAAGAGAGGGGGGGGGAATAGTGTTGGTACGACACTATGTAGAAGTGATTTTTATTCCCAATGGGAAGAGTTAAAGTACATAAAGATCTGACACCATGAATGATGGTGTATCCCCGAGGTGACGTTGGTATTCCGGATTGAAAGAGTAGCCACGTGGTCCAACTCTCAATAGTCGTGTTACTCACCTATCGCTAGCAGCTCGCTGCCCGGGCCTCAACGACCCTGCTGACCAGTTCCTGACAGCAGTCTCGCTACGCACCACTTGACAATAGTTACACTATCAAGCCCTAAGTAGCACCGCCACATAGCTCTCCGCAAACAGCCAAGACAGCGAGACATCATTTATTAGTACGACTAGTGATGCAGCAAAGCATCAGGTACCATTCCGCTTTAACCCATAATTATCACACGAGCTAGACACATGGATTGTAGGGTGCTACGCCCAATCATGCGAGGTTTAGTACCCTCGCCTTGAGTCGCTTGGCTTCTCAGCCCGACTCCACTATAGCGGCAAGCACCGCATGCGAGGTTTAGTACATTCGCCTTGAGTCGTTTGGCTCCTCAGCCCGACTCCTCTATAGCGGCAAGCACCGCATGCGAGGTTTAGTACCTTCGCCTTGAGTCGCTTGGCTCCTCAGCCCGACTCCACTATAGCGGCAAGCACCGCATGCGAGGTTTAGTACCTTCGCCTTGAGTCGCTTGGCTTCTCAGCCCGACTCCACTATAGTGGCAAGCTCCACATGTGAGGTTCGGCACCCTCGCCTCGAGTCGCCTGGCTTCTCAGCCCGACTCCATTATAGCGGCAAGCTCCGCATGCGAGGTTCAGTACCCTTGCCTCGAGTCGCCTGGCTTCTCAGCCCGACTCCATTATAGCGGCAAGCTCCACATGGGAGGTTCAGTACCCTCGCCTCGAGTCGTCTGGCTTCTCAGCCCGACTCCATTATTGCAACATGCTCCGGCCATTCCACGCGACGCTCTTCTGCGTGACTTATTTACGATCGCTGGAAGCCAAGCCCAATCCATTCCACGCGACGCTCTTCTGCGTGACTTATTTACGATCGCTGGAAGCCAAGCCCAATCCATTCCACGCGATGCTCTCCCGTGTGATCTATCTACGATCACTAGCAGCCAAGCCCGATCCATTCCGCGCGATGCTCTCCCGCGTAACATCTCCATGATCATTGGTTGTTAAGCCCAAGCTATTCTCCTAAGTCGCGCATCATAAGTCGCGCATCACAAGCTTATTCCACACCATGATCTTGGTGCTTCCTCTCTCACAGTCATCATGATTATCTTGTACTCGGACGATCGATGAAGGGATATCTACATTACAACCTGCTATAGTGAGGTTACTCTCCAGCAAGGAGGTCATCCCGGCATCGGCCCTGCTGCCTACCACCCTACAGCATGTCTGTTTCCTGGCCCTCGGAAACGGTCTTGCTATGCAACTTTACCTGTAGCCTCACCGTGTACCCCACAGCATCTCTGTTTCCTGGCTCTCGGAAACGGTATTGCTATGCAACCCTACCTGTAGCCTCGCCGTGTACCCCACAACATCTCTGTTTCCTGGCTCTCGGAAACGGTCTTGCTGTGCAACCCTACATGTAGCCTCGTCGCGTATCCCACAACACCTTTGTTTCCTGGCCCTCGGAAACGGTCTTGCTGCGCAACCCATACCTCTGGCCTCACCGCTTATCCCTTAGCACCTTCGCTACCTGGATCTCGGCAACAGTCTCACTGCATGTTTCCTACCTATGGCCTCACTACCTGTCCCTCAAGAATTTTGTTGTTTGGCTATCGACAATAGTCTCGCTATGTGACCCTCGCTAGCAACCTAATCGCACAGCTCTCGGAATCCCTTCCACTTATACTATGGTCAACAACCTTACGGTTTATTGGTTTGACAACATAGTCTGACACGGCTACCTACGCTACCCACATCAGACTGGGGGGAATCCAGCTAGGTGTAGCTCAAGCAAGAAATACCTTTAAGACGGTTATTAATGCAGACTATGTAGATGGATATCGGTGACATTCCATATGCGCATGACTACCACAACAATCGTGTAGAATAACAGTCTCAGAGACTGAATGGCGAACTTACAGTTCTTAGCTACCCCGGCCCGACATTCCATCGACATCAGTGTCGTGTAACACTCTTTAGCAGCCTTGGTCTGCATGATCGCAGCAACAGTTACGTTGCATCGCACCGATCGGCTTGCACTCCTCTTAATGAAGGAGTATCAAGTCATCTCAAGCTACATAAGCAATGTTTGGCTCATCGCACAACCCCACGACTCTCGTGGGCGAGGTTCGGTCATTTCTCTTTATTATTTATTGTATTGGTGCTTTATCTAGTCCGATCCGATTGTCAGCAACCCAATCGCATCAGACTAGGGGACTTGACGCCGCGTACCAATAACACCAGACTGGGGGGACTTGATGATATATGGTCCATTAGCATGGCCCAGACTGCTCTAGCGCGTGTAACACCCAAATTTTCAAAACAATTTTTCACATTTTATAAAACACATTTTCATTCATAATCGTTATAAAAACACCATTGTATCACATAGTCAATCATAACATCATATCCCAAGATCATAATAAAAATCTCCCCGTGTGTGTACTGATCAAACCGGCGCCTTCCCGCGATCCTCGCTGGTACCTGAGACACATAACACAACACTGTAAGCATAAATGCTTAGTGAGTTCCCCCAAAATACCACACACAACACATATTAGCCACTCGAGGCTATAGCTCTGATGACCCTCTGGTCAAGGTGTCTCTGTGGGACCCTCCAGTCCCATAACTCTGTGGGCCCTCTAGCCCTAACTCTGTGGGCCCTCTGGCCCTAACTCTGTGGACCCTCTGGCCCTAACTCTGTGGACCTTCCGGTCCTAACTCTGAAAACTCTGTAACATACATAGCATATAACACATAGAAATCACATCATGCAAAAGCATACAACATACTCTGTCTCATAGCTCTAATTACCACTCTAGGTAAAGTATAGTGAGAAGACTCACCTCGGGTAACTCGGTAAAGCTCGAACTCTGTAAAATCAGTTTTAGCCTCCGCCTAATCATGTAAAATAAATACTCTCAATCAATACATCTCTCAAGGCTAGACTATTCCTCCTCTTAGTACTCTCAGAAGAGTAAAAGACCATTTTACCCCTCTCATAACTCAAAGGCCCCACTATAGACCAAACCCTAAAAGTCAACCAAAAGTCAACCCTCCGGGTTACGCTGCGCGTACCAGATGTGTACGCTGGGCGTACCCGGCAGTCTCTCAGAATCGGGGAACGCCACCCCGTACGCCGCGCGTATTGGGATTACGCCCGGCGTAAATCCCAGTTTCAGTCCCTTAGCTCTTGAGGCCTTAAACAGTTAAGACTCACGTCCAGCTTTTAGATCTAACCATTTTTAAGCCTCTTAATCCATAAAGTCGATGACTTTAAGCCTTTGCATGGCTGAACAAGTCACTAACACCCAAAATATACCATTTCCTAACACTAGAAAGCCCAATACTCAAGCATGATCTCATATCCACGACCAAGATGGGAACTTTATGGATCTACAAGACAAATACCACTGAAAGGGAACAGATATAGGTCCATGGAGCACATTACACTCATAAAGTCTCCACCTTTGGGACTTTTAACCCTAAAATGGTCCATGAAGCAACAAACCAAATGAAGAGGAAAGTTTTGAACTTTATACCTCCAAATGCAGCTCCTTCCTCTGTAGATCTCAGATCCAAACTTGCACTTCAAACTCTAGTCTCCACAAACTCCTCTCCTTCTTCTTCACTAGCACACCAAGGCACTTTTAGCTCCAAAATCACACACACTCACTAAGAACGATGAAAAGTTCTCTCTTAGGGTTTTACTCACTGTTATGGAGGCTGAGAAATGAGCCTTAGCATCCAATATATAGGGCACAAGTCAGAAATTAGGGTTTGCAGCTGGACACATTACGCCCAGCGTAACCCTGAGTACGCCCAGCGTACTCAGGCGAGTCCGCGTCCAAAATAAGCGCATGAGTACGCGCAGCGTACTCTTGAGTACGCCCAGCGTACTCATTTGCTACCAATTCCTCTTAAGGGCTTAACTTGACACTTTGAATAAAAGAAGGGCTAAATAGTTGTACCTGAATTTCGGGATGTTACAGCGCGCCAGCCTGGCGTGGCGCGCTCCTACCAACCTTGTCGGGGACTCCCTTGCCAACCTCGCTAGGGACTCTCCTGTTGGTTTATACGACTTAGTCCAGTCCGATGTCATTGGCCGTGTACCAATAACATCAGACTGGGGGGGACTTGATGATATATGGTCGGCGCGCCAGCTTCGCCTGGCGCTCCCTTGCCAGCCTTGCTGGGGACTCTCCTGCCGGCCTAGCCTGGCGCTCCCTGGCTTGGTGCTCCCTTGCCATCCTCTCCTGGTGCGCGCCCGCCAACCCCGCCCGGCGCCTCCGGGCGGCCTTGCCCAACTCCTTGCTAGTTGGGCCTGAATTGGGCTGGCCCAAGGCCCGACCCAATTCCCCTTGACCTAATTGTCCACTATAAATAGAATAGTGTCTCCTCCATGGAGGAGGACTCTCTCCCAAGTGGTTCAGCCGCCACTAGATCTTCCCCATGGCTCAGCCGCCACTATATTCCGGTCGGGTGGCTCAGCCGCCACCCGCCGCCGTCAGCCACCATACACCACCACTAGCACCAAGATGGTTCTCTCTAGCTATGGAGGACCATCTCAGATATTCTAGCTGATCTAACTTGACCGTCGGAGTCCGCTCCCAGGGCACAGTCCCTGGGGCGGCTCTAACGACTTTGCACTGTGATATCCAGATCTCCGTCACAGCAGAATACCAGAAGACTAGCCGGAGGTCGATGTATCATCAGGCACCCGCCCGCTATCGGACCTTGGTCCTGAATATCATACTAGCATACGGTGCCTAGGGCTAACCCCCGGGTCTTCCTACTCATAACTACATGGGTCGGCATTGTGGCCGTAGACCCATCCACACAAAGGGAAACTCACCTGCATTGTTGAACTTGCTGATAACCCTCTACTGCTGACTGGAAATTCCCCGACTGCTGCTTCTTCGGCTCCCCGAGCTACCAAGATCATAATATTACTTAGCTCAATATCATAGTCTTTTCTCAGGGTAAGATTACTATTTTACCCCTACCCCAATATAGTCCATAACTAAGGCCCAAACATAATATATAAAGGCCCAAACCCTAGGTAGGCTTCCCAAGCCCACTAATGGCCCATTAATGGCCCAATTTGCTACATTGGGCCCAA